AGATTAAAAATTAAACAAAAAAAAAAAGAGTTGATTAGTTCGCTATCATTATCATTAATGCTATCATTACACTGTTTATTACAACAATGACTAATTACTATATTAAAATATAAATTATATTAATAATAAGTAATTATTTACCTGTCGGTACTAAACGTTTTTTTTTTCTTTTTTTTTTTTTTTAGGACTACTACTATTTAGAATGGCCAAATTAATTGAGCAAGTTTGACTATAATAGATAAAAGACTAGATAACATGATTTATTGTTTACTTTTTACATACAACTTTTATTTCATTCTAACCGTTTCGTCCTAAATCTTTATATGTCCCGATAACAAAGATTCCTACTTTTATTTATTTATTTATTTATTTTTTGTATAAAAATCGATGACAACGTATTCTACAATTAATAATGAGATTTAATTTGAATAAAAATACAAATTATTATTCTCACATCGCGATATTATCTGTTTGAATATCTTAATATATATATAAATTACGTGTCACGTTGTTTGTCCGCAATGGACTCCTAAACTACTGAACCGATTTTAATCAAATTTTCCACAGTGTGTGCAATTTTATTCAACTTGAAAGATAGGATTGTTTATATCTCAATTCATAATCGCAATATTATTTTATTGCGAATTATTTGTTTATTAACAAAGAGCCATGATTAGCTCTGTTAGTTCGATAAGATTCTAACAGATGGCGGTATAAGATAATTCGTTGACTTAAAGACGTGTGTATCGGACTGATTGTGACCCATAGTATTTAAGAATAATTTAACACGTTGAGCGCCACGTTGGTCATCGGTGATTGACACTTGACTTTCCATTTAGGCCACGTCAGTCATATGTGACTGACATGCTACCATTTTTTTCAATACAAAGTAACACTTGTGGCCTGACGGGAAACTTCCCTAAATATTCGTGTGGCGCTTAACGCGTTAAATAATATTTATTTGTTTGTTTTTTATTTATTTATTTATTTCAATGAATGCGATAATAATTCTATTTGGATTTTTAATTCAATTTATATAGATGCAACGATTCGTCATATTATATTAGAAGAACAAATAAAGAAAAGCAAAAATAATAAAAGAAAAAAAACGAGAGATTGAAAGAGAGAGTGAGAGAGAGAGAGAGTAAGAGTGAGAAACAAAAAAAACAAAAAAAAATAAACCATAAAACTAGTATCGCGTCCAACACTGCCGTTTTTTGCAGTATTTTTTCCCCACATGTATCGCGAGCGAGAATTTAAAAGCAATAAAAAAAAAAATAAAAAAAAAATAAAAAAAAAATAAAAAAAAATTCTTCTCCTAGCGTAAAAATACAACGTAAAATTAGATATTAGTTAATTAGAAATGGAATGTTTTTTTTTTCCAGAGAGAGAGATAATCCGATGAAAATAAAAAAACATAAATAAATAAATAAATAAATAAATAAAATGGAAAACATTAAAAAAAGAAAAAAAATTTTAGAAAAAAACTAACGCGAACTATAAAAACAAAAACAAAAAAAACAAAAAAAAATGTTTATTCAAAAAAAAAAAAAAGAAGTTCATTTCCTGTCTTCTCTTCTTTCCATAGTTTTGAATGAATTGGGAGGAATTAATTTCGAATAAAAAATATAAAAAATACCCGAGAGATGGGAATTCGAGGATTGGGAGAGGGGAGGAGGAAGAACAAGTGTTATCAGTTTTTTTTCCTTGTTTTTTTTTTTTTTTTTCTAGTCAGCTTGTAAAAAATAAAGCAACGTGTTGCGTTGTCGAATTAGTCATTTGTACGACACTGTGAAGTAAGTAATTAAATAAAGATTTTTTTTCAAGAGTAAGAGTAAGAGAGAGAAAGAATGCGTGTACGAGAAAGTCAACATTAAATGTGTGCTTCGTGTTTCTGTATGTATGTATGTTTTGTGTGTGTGTGTGTGTGAAGGCAGAAACGTTTTTTGCACGATTGCGATTATCGATTAAAATATATATATATAAATATATATATTCTTAATTATTTACTAATTAATATATTAGTTGTAACGAAGAATGATAATTTTTAATTATAACATTGATTAACTAAATATTATTGCCATTATTCTTGTTTTTTTTTATTTTTTTTTTATGTATTTTTTTTTTTACGATGACGATGAGATGATTTTTATTATTATTATTATTATTATTATTATTATTATTATTATTATTAAGATTATAATTATTATATCTACATTTTTCTTTTTGGTTTATTCTTCTTCTATTTTTTTCTTCTTCTTCTTCTAATTATTATTATTATTATTATTGTAATTATTATCATTTATCAGTTATAATAGCTACAACCATATAATACCTTTATAAATGAGAATCAAGACACTGACGGCTAGGAAAAAAAAAAAAAAAGAAAACTTAATAAATTGAAATTCTATTAACTGAAAGGCATTAAATGATCATTGAAAATTCCTGAGACAATAAATTCAAAAAATAAATCATTCTTTTACATTTTATCATTATAATACACCTACGTCCTCGTTTGAATGAACTGGTTTCTTTTTTTTTTTTTTTTTTTTTTATCAATGTACGAATTAAAAGTCATAATCGTTTCATTTATGAAATGATTAAACATCGTTATCTGTTATCTAATATTAGAATAGAAAAATGTAACATTAAACTAAACAAAAGATAACATAAAACTTTTTGTACACTGACGTACCAATATAGGAAAAAAATAATACGTGATTATTTTTTTTTTTTTTTTTTTTAGTTATTATTACATTTAGAAATTCATAATTTTCGTTAAAAATCAGGAGACATTTCCTTAAAGATACAAATTTTTGTATGAATCATTTCCTCCGTCTTAACTGGTATTTTTTTAAACCACAACATTTTGGGTTTTTTTTTTTTCACTTAATGACGTATCATTTTTATTAGTAATTAATTTCTTAAATTGAGGAAACTTTCGAAATATTTTCTACTAATTTCTTAACATTAACATATACGGTACGTCTCATATTATTTCAAAACGTTGAACTATAATATTTTATTGCCCAAATTATAACCCAAAATTTTTTTGGGGAATTTCTTTTTTTTCTACAACAATTTTTGGTTTTAGAAACGTAGTTTTTTTTTTTTTTTAAAGCATTATAATAACATTACTTTGATCGGATTTACAAAGGAAGTCTGTGAACCCACGGGTCATCCTATTTTTACATATTTTTCTTTTGTATTGACACGAGACACATATACAATGAGGAAAAAGAAAGAAAAAAAGGAAAAAAAAAGATCAAATATTTTCTGTGTCAGAAAGGGAGATAAGACATGTATGTATGTGTGTGTGTCACGACTTATCTAAAAAACAAGATCAAATTCAAATTTACATTTTATTATTATTAAATACATTTAATACATTCGTCTCAATGGAGATTTCAAACTCTTAGACCTTACAATACAATTATTATTGCAAAAGTTTATTACCTTACATTAGAAGATAATAAAACTATAATAATAATAATAATAATAACTTTTACTATCTAAAAACGATTCGACAAATTTACACACATACACATAAAAATTAAACACACCTAATATTCTAAGTTATTCAATGTGTTATCGTATTTTGACATTTTTGTTTAATGTTCATTCATTTTTTACAAAATACACGTGACATTCCTTTAAAATATAACATTTGAATGTAATGAACGTTTAACTTGCCCTTCGGGCCTTTTTTTGGATTAAATTAAAATGTCAACTGAGTTGAAGGAGAAGAAAAACATTGAAATATTAATTTATGGTTAAAAACAACCAATGTTATATAATGGTATATGAAAAAAACCACGTTATTAACATTTTTACTTAAAGTTCCCTTTTTTTTTCCTCATTTAATCTAGTAACATTTTTAAAAAAAACCTTTTTATTCCAGCAGAACAACTTATTTATGTCTCATAACTGATATTAATAAAGTATTAACATTTTTATTGAATCTAAACCAGTTTTTCTTGTTACTTAAATTATTAATTATAAGATCATTAATGATCATATGAATAACCGAAGGACACAAATTAAAATCAAGTATTATCAGAGTACGTTCCTGAAGCATGCGCAAAATGATATCTGCAAAGTGAAAGTAATGTCTAACGATAGTTCACAGTAATGCCAGATATCACATATGTGTTATCGTTATCACTTTAAATAGTCTCCTAACATTGGTTAATACAAATTCATAGTTGGAAATTGAAACACTAAGAAAGAAGATTAGACAACACATATTTATACATATTTAAATTTCTTATCATTTAAAATATACATATATATATATATATATAGTTAAGTTTATTGATCGTCAATGAAACAACGATGATTATATTTAACATCGTTTTTATATAAATTCATTAAAACAACAGTTTCCCCCATATAAATTATAACAATTATTAAGGTAAGAATACAAATTTTGAAGAAGAAAAAGGTTAGTTATGACGTTGACTATTGTAACAAGGACAATAACAAGGGGTAAAGGTAGGAGAACTGTGTGGGGTAGGGGGAACAACAAGAAGGTATAGAAAAGGACCGTTTTCCAAGATTTCTCGCAGTTCAACTATATTCGCGTAACCGTCTACACGTAAACAATTTACTCCAGTTGGTGATAGACAAATTTTGATTATTTGTTCTATTTCTAAACGATTTACTTGTGAATCGATAATTCCACACAACACATCATCAACTACGATCAACAACTACAGACTACTACAAACAACGACTAATTACGCAAAGTGTACGCGTGCGCTTATCACGATAGTGTAAATACGCATACTCCTCCCGGGAATTAAATATTATTTATTTTGGTATTTTTTCTTTTATTTAGTTTGTTTGTTTTTTTTTCTTTTGATAAGAAAGAAAACAAGGATATTCAAAGAATTAAAATATTTGTTCGGTTTTATACACCACTCATCACATTTTATTTCTTTCTCTCTCTCTCTCTTTCTTTCTTGTTTCAATTGAGACATTTTTTAATTATATTTATTTACTTTTTATTTTCGGGGGGGTTGGATTGTTGTTTTTTGTGGTTTTTTTCTTTTTGTTTATTTAATTACAAATCTTCGATACGTTGATCATCATGTCAAGGAAGACGAAGGATTTGAGCAAAGCTAACAAGGACGAATTGTTCAAATTTCTCGACTCATTCGATGTCATCTTTTCCGATTGCGATGGTAATTATTTACTTTCTTCTTCTCTTATTGAAAAATGATCTATTTATTAATATATTTTTTTTTTTTTATTAATGGTGATCTAGGTGTTTTATGGCACATCGATGCACCCATGGAAAATTCCATAGAAGCATTGAACAAATTACGAAGTTTCAAAAAGAAGGTTTTTTTCGTAACGAACAATAGTACGTCAAGTGTCAAAAATATTTGTGATAAACTTCGTCGAAATGGTTTCGATGCCAACGAGGTGAGTTTGTGCAAATTCATTTGATTCGATGTTAGATTAACATAAGTCATGTTACTTTTTATTACCATTTTTAATAAACTGGTTTTATTAGGTCGAGTCATAAACAACTTCCGTTTTTTAAGGAGACAAAAAATGACGTTTCTGCGACTGATGATAAGTGTAACGCAACTTTCGTGGAGTTGTTTTTTTTTTCTTGCACTCTTTGCTATTGTTCAACGTATCTATTGGATTTTGTTCTCAATATTACCTTTAAAAGGTTCGGTCAAAGTCGGAAATACGTCCCTGCACTAGGTTCATCTTTTAAGTTCATCTTTTAATTCTCCAGAACGGAATTTGACAAACCAATTTCTGAACTGCCCTATCAGTTATCAATCCTGCACTGTATACGCTGCATATTTTTTCAATTGCCACTTTAGTGGTTATTGCCTTGTTTCAATTCTTAAAGCATTACATGTCGAATATGCACTTTTTACTATAACTTTGTAACATTGACTGCATCAAAAAGTTAACAGAAGACTAAACTGAATTCTCATCTATACAGTGATATCGAAAACCCGTTTGTTTTCACATAACACGAAAGGTTTTGAAATCTTTCAACGAAAATTTTCGTTAAAATATTTTTACAACAAAAACATCTTTCCAATATCTTGCAGGTTAACATCATTCTAAAATATTTTCAAAAAGATTCATCAAAGATTTAACAAAAATATTTTGTAATAACATTTCTAAATATATTTAACTGATAGTGTAAGTACTTTTGCAAGTGTTCTGAACGCGGACATTTTTCACCTTGTAGAAGAGATTTTTTATTAGAAACCTTTTTTGAAAAAAACATTGACAAACTTTTCAAGAAATGTTATGGAAAGTTTTGTAGAAAATTTTGTATCTTATGTGGGATATAGTATGTAACTTAAAAATAGATTTTACATAGCCGCATCGAAATTGACTTATGACTCGATCGTAATATAAATCTAGAAAAACAAAAAAAAAACAAAAATAAACAAATAACCCTGCCTTGTTTATTTCAATGAAAAACTATAAACAAATACGTTATTTATAGTAATATTGAATAGATTTGAATAAATGTTAGTAGAAAAAAAAAAAAAAGAAAAAGTAAAATGAGTAAATAATACCAAATTTACATTTGAATGAGTGTTGTCTCGTAGCAAAAGGGTTCAAGGTTAAACATACTTTTCATAAATTTCATTATCAAGATAATATTATCACAAAATTCTTAAGTTCTATTGTCACAAATTTAACATTAAATTGTTTTCATTTTTAGGATCAAGTGATCGTGTTATCAAAAGTACTTATCTGGTATCTGAAAAAAATCCATTTTCAAGGCCAAGTTTATACGATTGGATCTAATGCACTTCGAAATAATCTGTCGGATGCTGGGATAGAATTGTTGGATGAAAATGTAAGTTAACGATAATTATTTGATATATATATATATATATATATACGATTGATACTCTTAATCAAATCAATTCAAAATACAATTATTCATATTATACAGATACCGACAATTTCAACAAATGATGTATTAACAATCTTGAATGAAGTCTCGGATAGAGAATCTGTGAAAGCAGTGATAGCTGATTTCGATGCTAATTGCAGTTGGGCTAATTTGAATTTAGCCATAGCGTGTTTGAAACGTGACGATGTACTTTACTTAACTGGTGCTGTTGACAAAATTGTCTATCGTAAAAATGATACCACGATAATAGGTAAACAATTATTATTATTACGATAGTTTAATTAATTTCATTGAAAATTATAAACTACCATATATGGTAATAGAATCATTTTTTGTGATATCATTTACAGGACCAGGTCCACTTATTGACATTATAACCGAGTACAGTGGCAGAGAACCAATTCCTATTGGAAAACCAAGCGAAATCTTACGAGATTATATTTTTGAATTTTGTAACGTTACCAATCCACAAAGGTGTTTGTTCATTGGTGATTCGTAAGTTGTTTACAAATTTTTCTAACTTGTTTATTTATTGTTCTTGTTCATCTGTCTTATTCGTATCTCCTTTTTTGTTTTTTTCTTTTTTTTTTTTAGGATAAATCAGGACATGAAATTTGCAGCCTTGTGTGATTTTCAAAAATTATTCGTCAGTAGTGGTATTGATAGTTTTGAAGATTCGCAAAAACTTCTACAAGAACTTCCTGAATACTATGTACCTAATCTTGGTCAAATGCTTAACATCATGAAAAATCTTAATTGAGATATTAGAAGAATGATTATTATAAGAAAAATGATAATTATATTGAAATAGAAGATTCCATTTTTCTAACATTTACATGATCAGTAATATTGAAATCACACACACCCACACACACACACACACACACACATGATAAATTAATATAATTAATTATTGATTATGTAAAACTGTGCTATATCAATGCTTTACTCAAATTTACTAATAATTATGACGAATCATTTGATTTGTCAGAAATAATTTATTGGTTTGAGTATACATAGTTGTTTTGATCATTTTTTTAATGACAGAAAAATCTAAGAACCTTTTTAGAATTTAGAATAATTGTGTTATAATCTAAATCGAATCTTCTATTTGAAAATATCACTATTGTATTAAAATACGAAACAATTTAAGACTTAAATCAACATTATTAACTAAAATGGCATGAATCATAATGAATTGTCTTCATTATTCGATTATTAGTTCATTTTGTGTCCATTAGTTGTTCATTTTCTGTTGATAAGTACAAATCTGATGATTAGAAATTGAATACTTTGATAAAAGTATTGAAGCTTTTGCACGAACAACCCATAAATGGGTTATTAGTAATAAAACTATATATATATCTATATACATAGTTATAAATATTGGTCTTCCAAATACAGTAGGCACATAAGTAAGAAGCTTTATATCAAATAGAACAAAATAAATTTATAAATAATTTGTTAAACAACCATTATAAATATGACAATAAAATAATACGCACATATCGTGTAACATCATGAAAATAGATTGATAATAATATTATGATAAATATTTGGAAAGATACGATTGAATGGATGTGTATGCTTCGAATTTACATTTACAAGTAACACATATTGTTATATTTGAAATGATGTTATGCAATATACCGATACATTCCATTTTATCAAAGATACTATAACAATCGTGATATAAATATTGTTAAATAGTTTATCAAATTTGTATTCTAATAATTATCAAATAGAAAATTAAAATTATTATTCAAAACGTTCAAAAAAGTATTATATTTTATTTGAAATATAAATATAATTTATCAAATGAAATCTTTCTTTGTATTAATCCTAAAATAATTTGTGATTTATATTACAATTTTTGCAATCTAAATATAATAGATTTATATATTTTTTATTACATTATATTTATATATATTAATAATTTAATATTATATTAATATATATATTAATAATTTAATATTATATTATATATTATATATATATTAATATATATATTATAATAATATTATAAAATATTAATATAATGTATTATATATTATATTAATTATTTTATTTATATATTTTTCTATATATTATATATAATATTTTTATTTATATTAATTATATATTATATATTAAATTTATATATATATATATATATATATCAGGGACGAGAACACTGGCGGAATTTGGTATTTGCGACAATAAACTTTTGAGTTCCTAATGCCAATTAATAATAATAATAATAATAATAATAATAATAATAATAATAATATATCATAATCGTAGTTAAATTAGAACTAACAAGATTAGATTAAAACATTTAGTATTTTTTTTTATTATCGTGTGAATAAAAAACCAATTATCGTCTCTTAGAATAGAAACTATATAGAGAGAATAAAAATAGAATTAAGAAGAGAATAAAAGAGTGTGGGTAAATAAGTAAAGAAGAGAGACAATGTTCATCATCTATACTCTCTCTTACATTTAAAGTGAACCCAACAACGCACATGTGTTTTTCTCTCGTATCAGTGTATCAAGAAACTTCGAGAGCGCAAGATCGTTTTATTCCTCTCCTCTTGCAATCTCACTCTCTCTCTCTCTCTCTCTCTCTCTCTCTCTCTCTCATTCGTTTCTCTTCGTTTCGCCTCGTTATTTTTCGCTACGAGAAGATTTGCAATAGTATTGGTATAGATTTTAATATCAATAGTAGTAGTAGTAGTAATACTTTGATGGATAAAACTACGAATTGTTGAAATTCATTAAATTTGGTTTTCTTATGTAATAATTCATATCTACACATGTGTACTATTGCATAATACTTCTTGAGAATATTTGTGTGTGTGTGTGTGTGTGTGTCAGTTCATATCTGGGAGTGTACATCGTCAACAAAACAAGTACAAAAGAGATGGATAAGAAAACTGGATAATATATATTTTTTTTTTTTTTTACATTTGATAAATATAACAAATTATTTTTATTTTATAACAATCGACAAGAGAACAATTTCGACGGACTATTTATCAAGATGTTCGAATCGGTGAGTGTTAGTTGAATTAATTTGTTAATTTTTCAAAAGCATCTTTAGTAAAGACAATACGATTTATTTTATTTATTTTTTTTTTTTTTTCATTGACGATAAGTAAAAAGTCATTTTTGATATGATTAAATGAAACAATTATTCGTCAAAATAAAATTTTGACTTCTTTTCAACAATTGTTATTATTTTTAAAGTTTAATTTAACTCTAATTCGATTACAATAATTTGATATTAATTTGTTCTCGTATTGATTAATTCTATTAATCATCGTATTGTTCGTGCTTACGAATTTTTATAAATGACATTTTGAATTATTTGTCTATTACAAAATTGTTTGAGAAATTGTTACGTTGATAAATATTTGATTTCACGTACAGATAAATTTGGACGAATAATCTCTGGTATCAAGAAAAAAAAAAAAAAGAAAAAAAAAAGAAAAAAAAGAACAAACACCATATGTACAATATTTTACCATCCACATATGTTTTCCTTCACTAATCAAATATTTCCATATTCTCATGGAAAGATAGACGTGTTATTTGAATTCGATTAGATAAATTCTTTTCAAAAAAAAAAAAAAAAAAACCAAACAAACAAAAAAATATTAAATTTATTTTTATCACAGGATTTCAATTCGAGGATCGTGATAACCTGCAGCATTGCGGTATTCCTAGGTATCCTTTATTGGAATTTACGTAGTAACAGTTCTATAGAAAAATCAAAAAGAAAAAATCCATCCAATAAGAGTAATGGTGGTTGTGAACAAAAATCTGAAACTAATAAGACAAATTTACATGAAACTACGAGTAATGATGATTGTGAAGAAAAAATTCAGACAAATTTAAACGAAACAATTAACAAAGATTGTGATGACAATTTACAAATTCAAGTAAAAAAGAAGACAAGTGAGATTAATGTAGAAACTAAGTTAAATATTCCTAAATTGAAATGGGTTAAAGTGGGTCGTGTTGAGGAACTTTATTATTATCCTTTGAAATCAGGACGAGGAAAGACTATAACGGAATGTAAGTTTACGGAATATGGGATATCCGTGGAGGACGAAGGTCTACTTACACTTAGAGACAGGTAAACAAATCTATATATTATAATAATAATAATAATTTAATTGTAACGGGTGAGATAACAATTGGAAATCAATCATTTTAGTTTTGTTCATTAAATCATTTTATTATCAGCAATCCATATACGTGTCATTCGAATGTAAGATATTATAATTTTCGATTTAACTTATCAAAAATATAATAATATATATATATATTTTAATATATATTATAATATATTTATTAAATAATTAATTTTTATTATTATTATTATTATTATTATTATTATTTATATAAAAATATTTATTAATATACTAAAAATATTTCTATATATTATTTATATTTAATATTTGTAATTAATTTATATTTATATTATAACTATATATATATTAATATAATTATTATTATATTATAATATATAGTATATTATATATTATTATATAATATTTATATATTTATATAATATATTTATATTAATATTTATAATAATATA